GATTGTGCCATATCATGTAACAAACATCGATCCCAGCGACCCATACTTTTTTTCCTGCTAATACTGGAAACAACAAGAAAAATTTTTACCAAAATCATTACAAACAGACTGGCCCAAACTATACAACAACACCAAATTCTCTTTTCATACAACTGAGCAGCACTCCTTGACTGCAGTATATAAGAACTGATACAAATTCTCAAAGCAATACAAGATGATATCAAACAATACAAAAAAGAAACATGAATTCTTAGTCTAGACATGGCCAAAGCTTTTGATTCAATTAGCATCTCACATCTTGAACTAGCATTTCAAAGATAAAATACTCAAACAAAATTACTCAACTTATTACAAACATCTGTGACAATTGACAAAACTAAGTTCTTATTCCATTTGGCCTATCACTACAATATATAGTAGAAGATAGAATAGACCAAGGAGACAAAATATCACTACTTCTTTGGAGAATTTATTACAATTTATTGCTCTCTAACATCACAACAAAAATCAAAAGCTATATCCTCAAAACCAAAGAATGCACAAAAATTATATTCCAACCAACAACAATCTCATAACACATCTCATGTATCATATATATGGATGATACAACAATTATCACAAATAGCAAAGAAAAACTTCAACAAATTTGCAATATCTGCACAGAATTCTTTGACCTTAATAACATCAATATAAACAGGCACAAAATTAACCTTATAATCCTCAACTATATAAACACTACCCTAATACAAATCACAATACAAAACCAACCAATTGCAATATTTAAATCCAACCAAGCAGGAAGAATTCTAGGCATCTACCTAGAAAGAAAAGATACCAAAACATTTTAATAACAACTCATCTAGGAAAAAACAATCAAATTCACTAAGACCATTAGATGAAAAATAGTAACTGACAAACAAATCAAATACCTACACAATCAGTCTGGACACTATCAATTACATATCTACTCTCTGATACTATCATCACAGAACAACAAAGCAACAGACTCATGGATATTTTCAACAAAATATACAAACACAAATTCAATATGGCAACAACAACATCTAACTCAATTCTTTTTAACCTACTTAAATATGGATTTTTTCACATCTGGGATAGACAGTTATTAATGCAAGCTAACAATTAACAAAAAAAAGTCAACAAACAAGACATAATTGGCAAAATCACAAACATCTGCTTACAAGAATTGCAAAACTGCTGGTGGTTAACAAAACCTGTTACAATTGATTACCTCAAAGATACATTTTTCACACAAGGACATGACTTCATATATGATACAATCTTCCTTCTCAGGCAATATGAATTCACAGGTACAACAGATACATTAGTTACAATTAAAGAAACAGACACAACATTAGAAGAGCTAACAAGTTCTGTCTGATACAATAAATATAGAAAGCAGCTTACAAAAAACCAGATTCTGTTTCTCAATCAAATAATAAACTATACAGAATCCCGAATGGCAGCCTAAACAGAAGTTATATATCCAAACAAAAAGCTAAACAGCAAAATATCCATATGGTTTAGTAAAATACAAAACAACCAGGCCATAATCAAAATTATACAAAAGAGATAACAAATGGGCAAACCTGAAGAATGCATATTCTGTAAAGACAAAAACAGCCTTGTTAATATACCTGTCCACAAAAGTAAAACGAGCTCCAGGAACACACCAAACAACAAACTCTGTCATTGAAGCAGAATTACCTAACACGTATAAACACTATAATTACAAACAAATTTCAATTCACAAACCTTTCACCACTATCACAAATCGAAAACAATCAAATCAAAATATATCAAAAGATCATCACCAAATACATAAATACATCAGAACTCATACTCTCTAAACTAGCAAATATAAAACAAAAACTAAAAAACATCAAAACAATTACAGTTTATACTAATGGATCAATAAATACTAATCACAGAATGAGATTTAACTGGCACATTTCAGAAATATTAAACATTACATTTCAAGGCACAATTGAAGATTTCCTATTATTAACAAAAGCAGAACTCTCAGCTATCGCAAAATTCCTTCTTATTGCATCTGCATATAGCAATATTGCAATATGTACAGATAGCCAAGCAGCTCTTAACATGGTCAAGAAAGTCCAAAGCAATCGCCAAATACTTAAAATGCTAAAAAACAACAACTTAATCAATATGATCATCTATATTATAGAACAACAAAAACTTAATATCATCCTGACAAAAATCAAAGCACATAGCAACCATTCAGAAAATGATTATGCAGACCATCTTGCAAAAGAAGCCACATAGATTAACTACACCATTCCCAAAATCAACTTCAAACTAATTTTAAACAACAAAACAAAAAGTCACAAAAGTGGAACAGGCAAATATTGGATGATACAATTACAAACACAATTAAAAACCTTATAAAAATCAAATATGCTCTTAGCTGAAAAATGCTTAACCAGAATCTGATAACAATAAACGAAAATACAAAAAACAATATTATATAAGAAGAATTCTTGACCAATAAATATCCATCAAAACTCACAACAGGAAACACAAATCAAAATGATCACAACACTAGATTATTCAGACTAAAACTCTGGAATTTAGAACTACTCTCTAAAGACAATCTATATAAAAGAGTTACAAAAACATATACTAATAATCAATATATCTATTGCAAACAAATTAAAACTAACATACACATCGTAACATACAAACAACACAAAGAAGACCTTTTTACAAAACTATTTCAAATTATCAATGAAGAAGTAAGCAATAGAACAGACAAAAAAATTAGTTATAAGCTGGCCACAGAAATTAACAAACAACAACATGAACACCAGAAATTAAAAACTATATAGTGAAAGGAACACTAACAAACAATATAATAAATATAATTAAAAAACATACCCAATCTAGCTTATGCAAAGAAACTATTAAGGCAGTACACAATCAACTATTAAATAAACTTCAAAACAGATAGTATATCAGATGCACCAGTTTCACAGAATGGGAAAAAGCAAACAACATTGAAAGAAAAGACAAAAGACTCTGGAAAACCAACAAAAAAATATTAAAAGAAGTCAAAACCTATATTTTAGGAGTTAATGCACTCCTCAAATATGCCATGCAACATTGACTGAATTGGAATGCAATATATACACAAAACCAACTTTTTAGGGAGAGATAGAGCCTTAACAAATTAGCCAAGTATATGTCAGTACTTGGCAATAAGTTGTACAGTAGAACTAGTTTTTTAGTGAGTTTAATTAGATAGACAGAGAAGTAAATTTGTATAAAACAAATTTGTACATACTTATCCTATTAAATCTAATAAACAAGGTGTAAGCCACCTGTTTAAAAAAAATTATCCTATTAATAGAAAATTATAAGAAACATGTTTTATCTTAATATTAAAAAAAAGAATATGATAAATTTTTAAATTTTTATTATTGAAAATTTTTTTTAATTTTTAATTTTAACTTTATAACTGTTTTATAAAATTAATTAAGTTGTATTATAATTATTTATAAATTTTAATTTTTTTTAATCAAATAGCAATTTTTACAAATTCAATCAAATTATTATATAATTGTAAATTAATAAAAAAATATAAGAAATATTTATTAAAAAAATACAAATATTAGCAATTTAAATCAAAATAATAATTTTAAATTCATAAAAATCATTAGTATCTTACAAATCTTAAATAAAAATTATAACAATCAAATATTACTTTAACAATAATCTTATTATTTTGAATAGGCATTAATTATTCAGCATTGTCTCCATAAACTTATTTAATTAATGTAAATTTATGCAAATATTTTTGTTGCAATAGGCTATAATTAATTTACACCTTACTATAAATATCATTAATATAATAACAATAACTTATAAATTGCTAAGAATTTAATTTTGTTAAAAAAGTTTTAAATAAAAAAATATATATTTATTTTGCTAATAATATAAATTCAAATGTACTTAACTAACTTTTAAAAAAAGGGTCTTAAAGAAATAATCAAGAAATTATTCTATTAAATATTTTTTTAATTTAATTATAAATTTTATTTCTGTTATTTTTTAATTTAATTTATTTCTTTGCTTTATTTTTTTATTTTATTGCAATTTTATTCTTTGTAATTATATTTTAAATTTCTTTGTTTTATTGTTTAATTACAAACTTTTTTTTCCAATTTATTTTTGCATACCGGAAATAAAATCCGAAAATCTACTTAACAATATAAATTACTATGGTACGGAAATTCACTCGAAATTATGGTGCCTTAAGGGTACCGCACGAGTAACGCATAAAGAACACCCCTCTGTGGCCGTAAATAGCAGTTAAAACTCTGCTACAGTATTTCTTCGTATGACAACAGTACAATACTGTTGCAAATCAGTCTTTTAAATAAGATTTGAAATTCTTCAAAAACTTCCATTACATCTAACATGTAATAAATCTAGTCTTCTTAATTCACATTACATTTGAATATCCACTAAAAGATCCTTCGGCTATTAATTTTAACAGTTAATTTGTATGAAATAAAAAACTTTTTTTTTGAATAACGGAATTCATATTTGGGTTGGTACACAGCAAAACCATGTTTCGAGACAAATTTTCGATTTGGGAAATGTAGACTCAAATTTATATATTGACTTGCAAGATTGTACTTATTACTTCAAGCATATTACGTATAATATTTACCGCAGATGTCACAGTTTTACTTTTTTTATTATTCTACTACTGTCTTTCATGTAAGCGTTAAGCACATATACATTAGGTCAACTCTTTATAAGTGAATCATTGTGTAATTTCTTCATAATTTATCTTGCTAGTTTTTTTTTCCTGATATCAACACGTAACAAAAATCCCACAATCCATCTGAGTTTAATATGATAAATTATAACGAAAAAAACGGACATTTAATTAAAAATTTATCATTTAAAACAACTCCTAAATTATAATTACAATATTTTTAGGTATCAAATCATTTAGCAAATTGAAGCTCTAAATCAGTTGGGAACGGGAAAATGGTACCATTAGAATTTACATAAAGGGTTAAACCACCATCATCTATTCGATTAAGCTGACCAGCTCGACCAGGAACGCGTTGAAGGTTTTTGAGTTTCAGAATAGTCTTTACAATGGCCGGTATTGCGACAAAGTTGACTGGCTTTCCAAAACATTCATGGAAACCGTATCCGAACGTCAGATATAAATCAACTGGACGTTTGGGATCAATCTTATCAGGATTAGGGAAGACCGAAGAATCCATATGAGCAGATGCTAAAGAGAGTACAACAGTATCGCCTTTCTCGACATTCACAGTGCCATTAGTCTTATCGTCAATACTGGAAGATACAGATGCACGACGAAGAAGAGAAGGCACAACAGGATAGAAGCGCAATGCTTCAAGAATATATCCAAGTATCAGGTTTTCTGATTCTTTGTCGTTCTTATCAGCTAATCTTCGAATTTCTTCCAAATGAGACTTGTTTTCTGGTCGCAGATAAAAATCTACAATCTGAGACGCAGCTTGAGCCATGGGTGTCACACCACCCGAAATTGTACCCAGGAGATTCCAAGTGGCCAGGTCAGCATTTTTTTTATATTGATCCATTAAAATTTGCATCAATTTTTTTGCTTGAGGAGATGGCTTACACTCGGAATCTTCGGCGTCCTCATTGACGGATGATTCAAGAATCTCTTGCATGACTTTATGCATTTGACAGAAGACTTGTTTTGCATCTCGAGAGAGTTTATAACTATTTGCAGGATCTAGGTTAACAAAAAGGAACATGAAGATTATGGTGAATTGATCGTAGGCATCTTGTTCCGAGTAGACACCGCAAGGAGAATCTTGAGTTTTCACGGGAATGCCAAAGTATTCTCGAGCAAAATAGACAGGCACAAGATTGCATACATCGCGAACAACATTAATTTGATATGTTTTGCCATCAAATGTTTTCTTCTTTTTCTCAATTAGATTTTGTGTAGTCTTAATGAAAAATTGCTTGAAATCTGCGATGAACTTGCTGCGATCATTGGAGTAAAAAGCCTTTTCCATATGAGATCGATCCTGATCATGAACAGAGGTATCATCACGACCAAGGAAAAATCCGACACCTCCCATTACCAGCTCCATGTCTTTTCTGTAAGTCACGTTAAAGGCATCCTTCTTGGAGAGCACATCACGGCAGCCGGAGTGACTGAGTACACGGTGGAACTTTTGTTTTTGATCCTCGTGAATGGCTGGAGTGCTAAAGTCGAATTGATCAAGCTCTCCACGTCTTTGAAGATTAGCTTTTGTCTTTGACGGAGTGAGGAATGGAAACATTGCGTAGATGGAATTCGACTTGTAACATCCCTGAATGTTACGCAAAATGATTTTGTGCATGATACTTCCTTCAGCGATGCTTGGATCCGGTTTCAATTCCTCATAACCCCAGTTAGTCAAGTTATGTGTGTTATAATCATCAGTGTAGAAACGATCGTTACGGACAAGGTTCACGGCATCCGAAAGAATTGCACGGCTGATGGTAAAGTTGAGAGCTATACCAGATCCCACCATCGCTGGTTTTGTTTTTTCAACGTTGACGCCTGGATATAACTCCACGTTGTCGATATGACCATAATGCAGGCGAAGTAAGTTTGCAACTTCTTTGTTGGGATTCATCTCTTCAAAAGATTTATACGGTTCGAGATTGAGAAAACTGCGCATTTCATTTAGGCTGCATATACCCATTTGACGCGACGAGGCAATTCCAATAACTTCAATCACACGGAATATATACGGAACTCCATTGGCTCCAAATGCACCTGTGAAGAAGGAATTTGTGATTTCTGAAAGACACGCATATACGTACTTGTAGGTGCAAGCGGCCATTTCTTACCTGTCACTTGATCCACACTACTAACCAATTCCCTAGCTAAGTCTGTGTCGCGGAATGTACCTTTAAGCTTCCCCTCCGCAATACGTTTCAAACCACCAAAGGTCCGTTTTTCTGGTTCGGCCGGCAACGAATCTCGCCATTCTTTCAATTTTTTATAAAACATTGAAGGTGGTAACTATGCAAGCATGTATATATACATTATGGTATTTAGTTTTGTGCCATTTTTTTTATTTTGACATTATATATCAACCAACCAACCTCTTTTCCCGGCTTAGAATAATCATCGCCAAATATTTGCGTAAAACTTTCTTCTACCCATTTCGTATTTTCTTCGGAGACCAAAGAGTGCCACCTGTAGATATAATTGAATTCAAGTGATATCTGATTGCCAATGCCAGTTGGGATCGAACTTCCCATGGTGCTTTTAGGAAAGTTTTGAGCGGGATTGAGAGACCAAGTACTGTCTGTTCTATCAAGGCCAAGAATATAATGCAGGTAGTCATGAATGATGAGCTGGAGATAAAAACCACAGTTGATTAACCTTGCCGTCTGGAACAAATTTTCGTCTTGCACTTTAAGTTCCTCTTCGTTATTAGGATCATGAACACTGAATCTGTCACGTTCATTAATTTGTAAGAGGCGTTTAGCGATAAAGTTGTGATTACGTGAAAAGAGGATTAGAAAACTGCACACGCCGGGAGGTTGCAAAATAATTCTTTTGTCAGCAAAAGTGTCTGGTTTTAAAAGGCCAAAGCGTCCCTGTCTGATGCTCATTTGTTCTTTCTGATTTGGACCGTAAAGTGGAGTTAGATCCAAATAGGATGACACTTTATTGATAGATGGATCTCCCTTGGAAGAATCAAACAAATCGTGGGTAATAATAATCGCAAGATTAAATAACATTGAACTGATGCAGGAAGGATGTGGCTTGAACTTTTTTCGGACCATCAGCGTATCAAAAAGTGAGCCCGGATCAGGTAAATTCAACGATAATGGTTTTTCGATACGAACGGATCTTGCATAATGCGAGCATGACTTTCCTATCCAGGGATACAAGCGTGAATAGTTTGAACCATCCGCTGAACGATAAAAATCGTTTGCTAGCATGGTTGGTGGTTTGTTTATGTCAGACCATAAAAGTGAAATAAGTAGCTTCTCTAGTTCCAGCAAGAGACTACTGTTGGGCGGAAGATTTACCAAAACCTGCACAAGTCTTTCCAACTATAATAAAGAGATGTTAGAACACGATGTTATTATGTCGCTTATAGTGACTCAATATAAAGTCTATTTTTTACTTGAAGTTTAGAGTCATCTAATGGTTGATTCTTTCCCAAACCAAGAAGTCTTGCTAAGAACATAATATTATCTAAGGGTTCACCAATTGCAGAATGGGTCATGGGCATAGGGAGAGATTCATCATTCCCATCGTCTTGTTTAGGCGAAGGCGATTTACGATTGGATTCGACGAGACTGTTGATATTATCCATAATAATTCTCTTTTGTTCTTCGCTATACAAAATTATTTGCAACAGACGAAAGGTAAGTGAGCATACGAGCGATACATCAATTTTCGAAACTTTTGTTATTTGAATTTATATAAATATCCTCGAGTTTATTCACATGTTGATTGGTGATATGAAATTTTTAGAGGTCAAATTTAATCAAGAGGAATAATATGAAATGTCTACAGTTAAATTTATTTTTAATATTTAACCCTAAGATATATATCATAATATCCATCATCAAATCTTAATTGATGAATAAATTATCATATCAACGCATCATTCTCCGATGATTGATTTTTTTGGAACACAATGGTAAATACAAAGAGTAATTTTTAAATTAGTATTGATGTGTTTAATTCTTTACCGTAGTTTAGTCACCACTATAATTAATTTAATTATGGAAATTTTTTGAGATGGCGATGATAACGTTGAGTTAAATATTGTGGTATTATTAGAGTGCTCTTATTATGATCGATCAAATAACAAATATTTGATCGAAAAATTCTCGCGTTTTTTTAACATCACAATAATACAAAAACGTCTATAAAAGTCCTTCAAATAGGAAAGTATTTGTTTATTTAATTCAGAAGATAGCATTTTTTTTTACCAATGAAGAGCAAAAACAAAGGTTTCTATAAATAAACGTATCTAAGCTTGGTTAGTTATTGGATATGCTTATGATATTAACAGCAAAGTAATTGATTCTGCACAACATAAACGTTTAATATAGGATCAAATTTTCTTTAGCATGAAAGTTGATTCTTTAACTTTATCTGTTCTTCTCTCCTTGATGTATGAATTAAATAATGAATAATACCATTGGAAGTCAGGAACAGAATGAGCATTACGTATTCTGTTGTAAATATGTAAAATGAAGAAATACACTAGTTCATTTGTTTGATATAAATGTATATATAGTATTTATTTATTTAATTTTCAGTTCAATTTTATTCAATAATAATTATATACTGATATTTTACATATTCTTTTATACAGTGTAAATTATTGAATCCAAAATCAAAATCATATAGCATTAAAGATACAATAATATACCATTTAAAATATTTTATTTCATTTAATTATTTTCGCAAATTATTTATATTTCAAATTGTAATTTAACAAATTATTAATAAAGTATAATGAAAATTTAAATAAAATATCAAACACGCACAAAAAAAAAATATTATTCAATTTATTTTTTAATTATATATTATTTAAATTCATCAAAAAAAATCATCAATTAATAAAAATTTTAAAAATACAATAATTAATTAATTATTTATTTTTTCTTAATTTTACATACAATATTATTGAAAATATTTTACAATTTTTTTTTATTTTATAAATTAAATAATAAAAATTCTTGATTTTATTTTTAATATAAATTTATAATATCAATAAATTTATTTTATTTTATTTTATTTAAATTTTTGATGTTTACATTACAAATTTATTAGTTTTTTTTTTAAAAAAAATTGGTTTGACATTAATATTAAATTAATAAATTTACATATAATTATTAAAATTATTTATCATTTTGTTTTAATATAATTAAAAGTATTCGTTGAGTGGTTTTTTAAACAAGTTGCTTAAAAAACCAGTAAATTGTTTTTAAAATATAATTAAAAATTATTTTTCAATAATTATATTTGATAATATATAGTATGTTGTAAAAAAATAACAAAAAATTTTTTTAATAATTGAAATTTTTACAATTATTAAATAAGTATTTATTTAAAAAATTAAAAATTTTATATTTTAAAAAATAAAAATTTAATTGAAATTTTTAATTGAAAAATTTATTATACAAATATTAATATTTTTTTAAAAAAATTATTTAATTTATTAATTTGTTCTTTTATTTTACTTTTTAAAATCTTTTATTCAAAAAGTTAAAACTATATAAATATATATATATATATTATTTTTTTTAAGCAGAAATTAAATAAATACAATATCAAATTTTTGTTAAAAATTAAAATATCAAATTAAATAATAAAATAAATAATAAAGTAATTTTAAATAAAATTATTTAATAAATGTTAATTCAATTATATTAAATTTTATTAATAATTTTTCTAACAATTTTTGTTACAAATATAAGTATCATTTTTTTGCAACACATTATACAATATACAGTATAGTATTGTAATATAAATTTATATATTGACTTTATGCAGAAATAGGTTAACAAATTTTACAATTTCTTTTTATTAATAAATATTTTATTTATTTAATAAATTATTTTAAAAAATATAATGGTGTCTATAAGAAATGACAATCATAATTTTGGTTATAATTTTATAATTATTGATTTAAATTATATAAAATTTCATATATATATATTTTAATATCTAAGAAACAAGTTTGTTATGAAATATTTTAATTTAATTACAAAATTATATATATATAATTATCTATAAAAACTGGTTGGAAAATAAAAAAAAAATTTTAAATTTTTTTATATCACAAATATTTTTATTTACAAAATTATTTCATTAACTAATTTAATAAAATTATGAATATTTAATATTTTACAAATATTTTTACAAAATTATATTATTAACTAATTTAATAAAATCATTAATAATTAATTTTTTAAATTTTTTTATATCACAAATATTTTTATTTACAAAATTATTTCATTAACTAATTTAATAAAATTATGAATATTTAATATTTTACAAATATTTTTACAAAATTATATTATTAACTAATTTAATAAAATCATTAATAATTAATTTTTTAAATTTTTTTATATCACAAATATTTTTATTTACAAAATTATTTCATTAACTAATTTAATAAAATTATGGATATTTAATATTATACAAATATTTTTACAAAATTATATTATTATCTAATTTAATAAAATCATTAATAATTAATTTTATATAAAAATTTTTATAATATATTTTTTAATTTGCATTTTTAAAATTTTTTAAAATTTTTAATAAAACATGAACATTTTTTTTTTAACGGGTGGCTTACACCTTGTTTATTAGATATTATGTAAAGAGTATGTACAAATTTATTTTATACAAATTTATCACT